GAAAAGAGGACAAGCTTGTTTGATGGAAAGAACATTCGAGAAGACAAATCCTGCTTTAGCTGCAATACAGCACCCAGATGTAGACCGAGTTCTTGGCTATTAGCATACAATATGTTTAAAACCAGGTGTTTTCATGCGAAGCTGAAGCAAGATTTGGAAATGATTTAGCCTTGATATGAATTTGGCCGGTACAGTCAGGGCCTACCTTTGAGGATTACGGATTTGTGAAGCAGAAAAGACATATCCTGTTAAGCGAAAAAATGCTAAGTGGAGGGGCTTCCCTGGTGGCGCAGTGGTTGAGAATCTGCCTGCTAATGCAGGGAACACGGGTTCGAGCCCTGGTCTGGGAAGATCCCACATGCCACGGAGCAACTGGGCCCGTGAGCCACAGCTACTGAGCCTGCGCGTCTGGAGCCTGTGCTCCGCAACAAGAGAGGCCGCGAAAGTGAGAGGCCCGCGCACCGCGATGAAGAGTGGCCCCCGCTTGCCACAACTAGAGAAAGCCCTCGCACAGAAACGAAGACCCAACACAGCCATAAATAAATAAATAAAGCAAACTGTATAAAAAAAAAAAAATGCTAAGTGGAAAAGAGAACCTGTCGTATGCTAGGTTTCATGTAAGAAAGAAGGGGAATATGAGAAAATACACGCATATCTGTTCACTGGTGCAAAAGAAATACAGGAAGGATAAACCAGTAACTAAGGAGACTGGTTACCTACGGGGGTGACGTGGAACAAGAATAGGAACAAGATTGTAAGGATGATGAGGGGGCAACCCCTCTCCAAGTGTACCATTTGGTACATCTCTGACTCTTAAACTACAGTAATGTCTCACATACCCTTCAAATACCCCCAAATCAAGAAACAAAACCAACTAGCATGTGGGAAACCCCAACTGAAATACCAACAGTAACAAATGAACCTAACCTTATTACAAAGAGACAATAAAGTAAAGAAGGTGAAGGAAAACCGATCTAATCTAAGTAACTTTGGTCAACAGTATCTTGACTGGGTATTATAAAGCTAAAGACAAAAGAACTGTATATAGATGCTATAATCTAGTTGGTAAATGTCCTTCTCATAGGAGCATGGGTTAATACTTCTGAAACTCTAAACTAGAAATGAAGAAATAAGTAAATCTATTATAGATAATGATATCAGGTTTCTCACTGTTGGAGAAAGAAGCTACAGATAAAGAAAGGAAAGACAATCAACTCTGTGCTCTTGGAATCAGAGGTATCAGTGTAAGCTTATCGTCTTTTGTATACATAGATACATACATATAGATACAGAAATACAGATGTGTGTGGATGCCTGGGTTAGTATACATATTTATAACTTCCAGCTTTGTCCGCTGAGAGAGCCTAGAAACAACATTCCAGTAGCAATGAGTATGCCTGGCAACTAGATTTTGGTTTCTAGATCCTATTCTCCAGTAGAAGGAGCTAGAGCTCCTTGGGGAAGTGGCTGATTCAGCCCTGGGGAAGGGGAAATACAAGATGAACCTGAAACATTTTATGTTGCTAGAAAGCAATGAAATGCTTAAAAAGAATGGGGCTTGTTGAAAGGACATGGGAGCCAAACTAAAAGAGCTTTTAATGGCCGAAGCTGGAACAATTTGAGCAGCAAAATTAATAATAATAGTATTGGATTATAACTCCAAGAATAAAGTAAATATTTGTGAGTCCATATTGATATATTTAAGCAATTGAATAAATAAATAAATGGGAGAGAAGTAAACGCTCTTCTTTGCATGAGAATTCCAATTTAATAAGTAGAGAAGGAAAAAATGAAATAAAAAAATCACCATTAGGCATCATAGTTGTTGCATTCAGTATCCACTGATGAATACTAAAATTAGCGGGTGTAAGTTTGAGGAGAAACAGGATATTTGCATGATCTCAAAGTATCTTCCCACAATGTGTTTATTAATCAGAAAGTGAAAATCGTAACTATACAGTGAAAAACCCTGCAGACACCACCTAAACCAAATGATCAAGGTTAACATCGCCAGGAAGAAGACACATTGACATCATAAACCCTTTGATATGATGCGCTGGGAAAGACAACATAATCTCTGTGGTATTATTGCCCAAAAGGAATAACCTCACTCTAATCAAGAGGAAACTTCAAATGAACCCACATTGAGGGGCAGCCTGAGGAGGAGGTGACAAGAACTCTTCAAAAATGTCAAGGACATGAAAGCAGAGAGGCTGAGGAACTGTCATAGATTGGAAGAGAGGAAGGAGACACAGCAACTAAGTGTACTAAGGATCCTGGATTGATCCCGGAACAGAAAAGGGGAATTAGTGGAAAAAAGGGTGAAATTGGAACAAAGTCTACAGTTTAGTGAATAGTGTCAATACTATACCAATGTTAATTTCCTCATTCTGAACACTGTACCACAGTTAAAATTAAGAGAAACCGGGTGAGGGGTTTATGAGAGCTCTATTATTTCTATAGCTTTTCTGTAAGTCTCAGAATAGTTCAAAATTAAAAGCTAAAAAGAAGAAAATAATGAAGAAAATTTAATTAGTTCACTGGAATCATTTGTGTGTGTTTGAAAAATATCCTGAAATAATTTCTCAGTGAAATAAAACACCTGATGCTGTTGTGTTTATATCAAAGAAGAGACACTTCAACAAATATCCTCATTCTGTTAATTATAGTATATTAGTTCTAATAAGCAGAGATGCTGTAATAGACTGCATTCAAAAGCTCCAAACCTAGAGTTTGGCTCATTTGTTCATAGGCATAATAAACAATATTTTTTCCCTCTCTGGGGATCTTGGGAAGCTCTCCTTGAAGGACGCACATTGGAGGTGAGATGCCAAGTCTGAACAGGAGTTAGCCGGGGACAGAGTGGACAGGAACATTCCAGCACAAGGAACTGCAAGTATGAAGTCCTGAGAGGGAAAACGGTTTGGTTTGCTCTAGGAACTGGAAAAAGGCCAGGATAGCAGGAATTAAGTGATGTGAGGTAAGCCTGGAGAGACAGGCAGGAGTGAGCCATATAAGACCACGTAGGAGAATTCAGATGGAAGCCTCTGAAGGGCTTGAGGAGAGGAGATACATGACCTTGGAAAGTCATCTCCTCCCACTCTCTTACTGGCTTTAAATGCTTGTTTATATTATGCTGACCACGGTTCTTTATCTTCACTGAGGAATAAGACATGGGATTGGGCCAACAGGGCAGAGTTTGATAAACCACAGTGATAAACTTCCTAGTGAAACTTCTGTCCCTGGAGACATAAGAGAGTGAAGGTACAGATGTGTATCCCTCCTGCCTTGAGGGAGTGGCACAGACATTCTGGATTCCTTTAAAAGTTTACCTGAAATGAACTACGAAGAACTTTACTAAAATGTTGATGCCCCATTGAATTTTTTTCCTTTCTCTTTGGATGTTTGGTATTGTACAGCCTGATCCAATCACAGAGTTGTGTGACTTCGAACTTTTGTGCTAAAAGTTCGAAAAATTAAAGAATTCGCCTACTGGACAATGGTAATGTCATATAACTATTAGAAGGTTCACACTGCTCAGCAGATATGGTGGCGGATCCATCAAGATAGAATAGCTCTCTCTTAAGAGCCAGGTATGGTATCCATGTAACCACATATGCCTTCTCACCTGGTTTTCCCAGCAGTCCTCAGGGTGCCTGGAGGCCCAGAAGAGGACAGGAACTCTTTAAGAAGACCTAAGAAAGTACCTGAGTCTCATGGGTCCGAAAAGAGTTTCTTCTGTTTTGTTTTTTCCCCAATTTTGCTTTGAAGCCAAGAATATTATTACCTTCTAATGTCAGCCTCCCAACCCAATTAAGGAGCAAGCTTTATTTCTTTGATTAGAAATAGAAACAACTAAATTCATATCTGTTAGTTGAGGTTCAGTATCTGGATAGGTCAGGAGCAGATCCTTCCATTCAGCTTACCTAAGAATATTTATCACAAGACAAAAGAACTACAGTTTCTGGTAACTTTAGGATTTAGAAGAGAAACTTTTTGTGTATAATGTCTATTGTCCAAAAATCTTTCCAAGATATGCACACAATTTTTACCTTTGTAACTATACTGAACTTTAGTAACTTTTTCTTTGACTACTAAGGACACCGCAGTTTCATGAACAACTTTCTTCCTGCATTCACTGTCATTGTTCAGCTCTGGGTTAAAAGCATGGAAGCCTGGATCAAATCTGTACAAAGCACAGTATTCCGGGAAGTTGTGTTGCTTTAACTTTTTTTTTTTTTTTTTTTTTAAAAGGAGGGTCCTAGATATCTTGCTTTAAAAAAATTTCTTTTTCTCGTACACCAGAAATGCATAAGGAAAAAAAAAAAAATCAGGTTAATGAATCATTCTGGTTTACTGGATTCCAGATGGTAGAGAGTTAAAACTTAAAGCTAAAAAGCCTTGAGTTACCTATGTCATGAATCAGTTCAAAGTTTTGTTACTTGCAAGAAATCAAAGAGCACATATATTGTACAAGATCAAAACTGCAAAGGAAAAAAATGACGTGCCCAGAAAGATCTTACTTTAGAAACGCTGCACTTTCTAACTCCGGTTCCCTCAAAGCCCACTCTTTCAAGAGGTTTGATTTTTAAAGCGCAGGCATCGCCTCCTTCCCTGGGGTGCTCTGTCGAAAAGCTACAGGTCGGTGCGGCCACGGCGTGGGTGGCGGGAACCTGCGACGTGCCGGCGAGTGCAATGCGAAAGGTCACTGTCACCGACCGAGTTACCAGCTGTGGGGACCGCTCGGAGCGACCACCGTCAACCTTCCTCTACCTCGCCCGCAACTCCCGCAACGAAAAGTGTGAAACGCGGAGCGCGCGAACTTGACCCTGAAGCCGGCCCGCGCGAGGCAGCGGCGAGTTTCTCCCCGGGACTCCAGGGCTCTCGGCGCTGACCCGCGCTCCTCCCGCTCTGCGCGCTTGAAAGCGAAACCCGGGGGCTGGACGGCCGAAACCAGCCGGAACGGGGCGGTCGTCGCGGCCCCGGCACTACCCTCTTACCTGCCCGTCCCGTCGGCGCGGCCACCAGCAGCAGCAGCAGCAGCGGCAGGGCCGGGAGGCCGGGTGCCGGGGCCCCTATGGCAGCCGCCTTCGCTGGGGGTCGAAGGGCGCACATGGGCGGCGGGGCCGGGGAGGCGGAGTCGCGTCCCGCCGCAGCCCGGGCCGGACGCCAGGGAGAGGGGAGGGCCCGCGACTTCTAGTCCCAGCCCCTCAGGCTCGCAGCTCTGACAATCCGAGACTCTCCACCGCCGCGACCAACGAGATTACTACTGCAGGGAAAACCTCCCTCCAGTGAAGAGAACGTGAGCCACGCACACTGAAGAGTGATTCTGGTCTTCGGGCCTGGTGGTCATTTCTGTAAAACTTTTGAAATGTCCGAGTTCAGTGCCGGAAGAAGAATGAAGTGGATATTTATTTCTCCACACACTGTCAGTCACTCTGCCATCCATTGTATTTGATTCCATTTAATCCTCGTCATCTGCAATTAGGCATTGTCCCATTTTACAGATGAGGAAAGGGACACTCAGAAAGTTGGGGCGTCGGCCTGAAGTCCCACAAGCCTGTGAGCAGTGACGCCCGGATTTCCACACAGGCTTGTTTCTAGGTCCCATGCTCTTCATAATGGGAGGGCGGGGCTGAAATTAAGAAATGTGCTGAAGAGTCACAGATATAGAAAACAAATTTGTGACTTGCAAAGGGGAAAGGGAGTAGGGGAAGGATAAATTAGGAGTTTGGGATTAGCAGATACAAACTACTGTATATAAAATAGATAAACAACAAGGTCCTACTGTATAGCACAGGGAACTATATTCAATATCTTGTAATAACCTATATTATATCTCTCTATATCTATCTGTCTATATGAATCACTTTGTTGTACACCAGAAACTAACACAACAATGTAAATCAACTCTGACTTCAGTTAAAAAAAAATGTATTGAGGGCTTCCCTGGTGGCACAGTGGTTGACAGTCCGTCTGCCGATGCAGGGGACACGGGTTCGTGCCCCAGTCCGGGAAGATCCCACATGCCGCGGAGCGGCTGGGCCCATGAGCCATGGCCGCTGAGCCTGCGCGTCCAGAGCCTGTGCTCTGCAACGGGAGAGGCCACAACAGTGAGAGGCCCGCGTACCGCAAAAAGAAAAAAAAAAAAAAGAGTCATGTACCACAATGTTCATTGCAGCTCTATTTACAATAGCCAGGACATGGAAGTAACCTAAGTGTCCATCAACAGATGAATGGATAAAGAAGATGTGGCACATATATACAATGGAATATTACTCAGCCATAAAAAGAAATGAAATTGAGTTATTTGTAGTTAGGTGGATGGATCTATAGTCTGTCATACAGACTGAAGTAAGTCTGAAAGAGAAAAACATGTACTGTATGCTAACACATATATATGGAAACTAAAAAAAAAAAAAGTTCTGAAGAACCTAGGGGCAGGATAGGAATAAAGACGCAGATGTAGAGAGTGGACTTGAGGACACGGGGAGGGGGAAGGGTAAGCTGGGACGAAGTGAGAGAGTGACATGTACATATATACACTACCAAATGTAAAACAGTTAGCTAGTGGGAAGCAGCCGCATAGCACAGGGAGAGCAGCTCAGTGCTTTGTGACCACCTAGAGGGGTGGGATAGGGAGGGAGGGTGGGAGGCAGATGCAAGAGGGAGGAGATATGAGGATATACGTATATGTATAGCTGATTCACTTTTTTATAAAGCAGAAACTAACACACCGTTGTAAAACGATTATACTCCAATAAAGATGTTAAATAAAATAACATAAAACCATATGTGGTAAAGGACTGTTTCCCTCCCCCCAGCAAAAAAAAAAAAAAAAGAAAGAAAATGAAGCCAATACATTTGAGGGGTGAACTGTAAAATAACACACATATTAAGATGTATACTTATTAATTTATGAAAATGCAGCATGGGTGTGATTTCCTTAGCGCAGGTTACTCTGTAAGGGAGAAGAGATGTCTTGCATACTCAGCTGTGGACCGGGCAGGCTCAGAACGTACTAAGGTGATTGCTCCAGAAGTAAACGTGAAGATTAGAGGACAGGTGGCAGAGTTAGAGGGAGACAGCTGGCAAGATAAAGTTCTCTGAAAAGGATTGGGGGTGGGGACAAGTTCGAGAAGAGGAGAGTTCTGGGGAAATAATAAGCATCTGGTACTTAGAGGGTTTCTATGAGCCCTTTAGTCTACTCTGCCATTCTCTGTGGCTATTTGGGGCCACTAGCAATTTTTGTCATGCTGTCTGCTTAAATCAAATTATATCCAATATTTAAAATCCTATGGCATCCTATCTCATCAAATCTTCCTCCAACCCTTCAGTTTTTGTTTTGAGAAGTGGTTCATGCATTTAAGAAAATGTTGGCATTGTGAAGCCTAACGTGTGTACAGAAAAATGCACAAAGGTAGTTGTTTCAACTCAATGAGTTATCACGGAGTGAAAGCGCTGGTAAGCATCACTCAAGTCAAGAAATAGGACAATTCTAACCTGACAGAGTCACCTCTCCTACTCTTTCTCTTCTCCCCCAAATCACTCAGGGTGTATTCTATTGTATTTGGCTTGTCTCACTAAACGTTAGGCTATGAGAGTTATCCACGTTGTTGCCTGTAGCTGTTGTGCCATGCTGTGAAGTTATTCATTGGATGACTATGCCACAATTTATTTATTCATTCTATTTTTGATGACATTTAAATTGTTTCTGGTTTGAAGCTATTAAAAGTGCTGCTTTGAACATTCTTGTACGCGTCTCTTGCTTATGTGCACATATTCTTGCCAGATACACACCCAGAAGTGTAATTGCTGGATCATAAGACGTACCTAATTTCAACCTCAGTAACTTAAATAATGCCAAACCTGATTTCTGAAGTAGTTATAACAATTTACACGCCTATCAGCTGTAATGAGAGTTCTTTTTCCACATTCTTGCTAATATTTGGTATTTTCAGGCTTTATAATTGTAGCCATTTTAGAAGATATGTAGAATCATCTCATTGTGGTTTTCATTTGCATTTTTCTGATGATTAATGATGTTAAGAACTTTCTCGTAAGCTATTAGCCATTTGGATAATGGATAATTTATCAGCCTTTTGGATAATACATAACTAGCACTTGTATCATGGATCTGCTCAAGTTCTTGCCTATTTTTTTCTATACAATCATGTCTTTTAATTTTATTTTTAATTGGTTTGAAGGAATTTGTTACATCTTCTGAATATGAGGCCTTTCCCAGTTATATATGTTGCAAGTATTTTCCTTCTTGTTGTGGCTTGTCTTTCCAGTCTCTTAAGACAGTAATAAAAGAAGTTCTTAAATGTAATCAAGTCTAATTTACCAATTATTTCTTTTATGGTCATTGCTTTTTTGTGTCCTGTTTAAAAAATGTTATCCTAGCCTAAGGTCATGAAGATATTCTTCTAAGTTATCTCCTGAAAGCTTTATTGTTTTATTTTTCACATTTCAAATTATGATCCACCTGGAATTGATTTTATATATGATGTAAAGTAAGGGTTCAAGTTTTATTTTTTATGTGAGTCCAACTGAGCCAGCACTATTTACTGAAAAGTTATGCTTTCCTTACAGCTCTTCATAAACTGTCTTTCATGAAGGGGTCTGTTTATAACCATCCTCTGTTCTGTTGATCTATTTGTCTATTCCTATGCTAATACCACATTATTTTAATCATCTTTTTGCTGGCAAACAAGTCCTTCTACTTTGTTCTTATTCGAGTACCTTGGCTATTTTTTTCCCTTTGCATTTCCATATAAATTTTAGAATCACTTGCAAATTCCCACAAAACAACTTGGCTGAGACTTTTTAAAAAAATGTTTTTTATTGTCATACATAAAATAAGGTGCATAAGGTCCACTAATCTTAAATCTTTCATGTATACACAACCATGTTACCAACTACAGAACAAAATATAGAATATTTCCAGGACTCTGGAAAATTTCCACATGTTCCAATCAATATCCCTCAAACACAGGAAATCACTATTGTGGCTTCCATTACCATTTGATTACTTTTTAATCTTCTTGCCCTTCCTACTAATGGAACCAGATAGCATGTATTCTTTTGCATCTGGCTTCTTTTGTTCCACATAATGTCTTTGAGGCTCATTTATGTTATAACATGTATTAGTAGTTTTAATCTTTTTTAGTGCTAGGATGTTCAATGATAAATTTTTTTTTTTTTTCGGTATGCGGGCCTCTCACTGTTGTGGCCTCTCCCGTTGCGGAGCACAGGCTCCGGATGCGCAGGCTCAGCGGCCATGGCTCAGCGGCTATGGCTCATGGGCCCAGCCGCTCCGCGGCACGGGGGATCCTTCCGGACCGGGGCACGAACCCGTGTCCCCTGCATCGGCAGGCGGACTCTCAACCACTGCGCCACCAGGGAAGCCCCATGATAAATTTTTAATCTCTGCATTTGTTCATTTTTATGCCAGAAGCAAACATGCGGTTTCCAGGGCAGAGATCAGAGTTATTATTACTACATACAGCCATAACTAAATCCGTTTTCCATGCTCCATTCTTCTCTCTCTTCTGGGGTGATGTGATGAGAGCCAGGTAGTTATCCTGTGTGTGCACCAGAGGAGAGGAAGTCCCAAATTATGAGTCAGGAAGTTTAAATAGGCTACACACTGCTTAGCTGCCACCTTCCTTTCTGAAAAAGGGAGAGAAACCCTCGGGAAAGTAAATGAATTCTCTCAAGAAGGCAAAGGAGAAAGTCCCTACCCTGGACTGCAGTCATTTGGCTCTGGGTAGCTAAGTTTTATTATCCTTTGAATGGGAACAAATGGCTCCAGGTCTAACACCCTTGCAACGTGAGGAGCGATGAGTCTGGGAAGAAGAGATATTCTATGATGTGCCAATTTCCTTTGCTCAAGAGACAAACTGTCCAGAAATGTAAAAATATTCATGGGGCATTGTTTCCCTGACATTCCACTGTATGAATACTTCATTTGATCTATCCATTCTCCTGTTGATGGATATTTGGGTTATTTCTCATTATGGAGTTGTAAGAGTGCCTCATGTAGTCTGGATACAAGTCCTTTGTCACATATATTTGTTGCAAATATTTTCTCCCAGTTCATGGTTTGTCTTTTAATTTTTA